CACGATTTTGATGCAAATGTAAATGTATGTATGCATGTATGGAATATTTTATATTTAATTTAGTTAATTAATTAAATTAATTTAATTAAATTAATTAATTAAATTAAATTTATTTATTTTTTTGTGGGGTGGTACAGGGTATTTAAGAGTTGAGCCTGCTCGGCTTTAGCATTCCTTTCTTGTTTTTATACTCTGTACATGAAATGTACAGAAGTATATTAGGTTTGCGGGAGCTGAAAAATGTAACAGGCAGAAGGAGGCGTGGCAGACCCCACAAAGTATATATATTCTTGATCAGCATGACGAGACGAGTCGATCTAGCCCTGTCTGTCTGTCTGTCCGTCTGTCCGTCCGTATGAACACCTGGATCTCAGAGACTATAAGAGATAGAGACACCAAATTTTGCACAAAGATGCCTTATTTTTTTGATTCCCCCCCCCCCCCCCCACTTCCCCCTTTGGGGGTTTACCCGATTTTCCATTCGTATAATCGCATATATCTCGGAGACTATAAGACCTAAGAGCACCAAATTTTAGTCCCACATGCCTTATGTGAATACGCACAAAATGTATATTTTGGAATTTCCCTCCCTCCCATCTTTCCTCCGCAAATTGCGGGAGAATAACTCCCGTAATTCTTGGAATTTCGAAGTACAATTTTGGAAATACCCCCAGTTGGCTATTATGTGTCCGTATGCCAGTTTAACTATGATAGACCGATTTAACAAGAAGTTATAGCCATAAATATATTTGCTGCTGCAGCGCTGCTCAAGCGCTGCCCGCAGCTGTTGTTGATGCTGGTGCTTTGGTTTACTGCACACATGTTTACACAGACACGAATAGATGTGCATAGGCATACATACACTCACACAGACCCAATTGCTATGTAAATGTGCAATTATAAGCCCTTTACGTGAGTTCGAATACCGAGAGAGGTAAAATCGATCAAATTTTTTTTTTATTTTCTTAATTTTTTATATTTTCTATAATTATTGATAGCATATGTACAGAGTATTTCAAAGTCGGGACACCCGACTTTAGCTTTTTTACTTGTTTCGTTAACAAACAGACCTGCCCAATCGGCGACACACAATTTTCGCAGTTTGTTTAATTAATATACAGTTATTTTGTACTTATTTGAAACAAGAATTGCGTCAATTCTTTATTATATTTTTAACTTTCGTTTAACTTTAGACTTAACTCAACAAAATGTGATGTTCTATTTGGGCCAATGGGGCATCTCTATTGTGCGGTTGATTTGGATGCTTTGTGTGAATGCTATTTTAAGTTTTACATTTAAGTATACATTTGTGCTAATCTATATACATATATAACACAGTTTGTCCTGACTGACTGACTGACTGATTGGTGATCAACGCACAGCCCAAACGGCAAAGGCTAGAAAGCTGAAATTTGGACTCAAGTATCCTTTCATAGTCTAGGTGCCCACTAAGAAGGGATTTTGGAAAACTCGAGCTCCAAAGGGGGGAAAACAGGCTCCAACGTTTGTATGAAAAATCTACAGTTTTCATCTGATTAACTTCAAACTTAGTTTGTATACTCTCAGAACAATTCCAAGAAAAACTGTATACTTGGATTCATCTGATTAACTTCAAACTTAGTTTGTATACTCTCAGAAAAACTGTATACTTGGTTTTTTGATATTTTTTTTGGCCCCAAAATATGGGAGTTTTCCTGTAAAAAAAATGTTGGGGCACAAAAGCAAACCGCGTCAACAGCCCACAGCCCACACGGTAAAAGCTAGGATGCTGAAAATTGGGCTCAAGTATCCAAAGGGGGGAAAACGAGCTCCAAAGTTTGTTTGAAAAATCCGAATTTTTCAACCGATCAACTTTTTGAAATTTGTGTTGGAGCTTGAATTATTGGGGTTTTAATATTTATTCACTATTTCAAATGAAAAGTTTGTGTTATAAATTTAGTCCGATCGATTTAAAATTTGGGTAATGTAATCTACGTAACTAAATCTACAACTTTGCATTCAAGGATTTTCAAAATATGCATTTTACAAAAGCAGGCAGAACAAACAATACAAAATATCAAACAGTTGGGGACAACTAAGTATACACACACACACACACATACAAACAGCTGTTCGTGTAGTTGCGTGCAAACGATTGAAATAGCCAAAGCAAAATGTGAGACACTAATGTGTGAATGTCCATACATATGTGCACATCTATGTATGTACATATGTATGTACATTCGTCTTGCACTGACAGAGCAAGAAGTGTTAATTAATTGAAAATTATATAACATTTTTAAAAGTAATTTTTTCTTTGTTTAGTGCATTTGGCATTAGTGTTTTCATTAATAACTTTATGCAGCAACAACAAATATCAAATAGTTGGGGACATCACATATATGATATGTTCTTATTGATCTCAATAAATAATTAGATTTTATTATTTAAATATTCTGCTTTATTGCATTCAAACTTCGATATTTTGATGGTATCGGTGGCTTCAACTATCGAAAGTTTTACTCTAGCAAATTGAGATGATAATTGTCAGTGCTTTTTGATCGTGGCTCATCGCTGCACGGCATTGACACGTGTGCCGTGTTTCATATTCCGAGTTTGTGCGTGACCGTATTGACTCAATATGGCACGAAAAGACTCAAATGTGAATTTAAAATTAGGATATACCCTTATAATTATTCCCCTTTTTTGCACATAGTCTATCTTAAAACGTTGCGTTATCTCTATATATAAAATAGTTTGTCCTGACTAATTGGTAATCAACGCACAGCCCAAACGGTAAAAGATGAAATTTGGACTCAAGTATCTTTTCATAGTATCCATCATAGTGTAGGAGCACACTAAGAAAGGCTTTTGGAAAATTCTAGCTCCAAAGGGGGAAAAACGAGCTTTAAAAAATATTAGTTATAGTGGTCATGTTCGTTTAACGAAATAGATTGGCAAGAACAAAAATGTAACGGACTACTGAACAATTTTTTGTCAAGAACAGAAAATGTTCATTTAAATACCTTAAATGCCTTCCTACTGGTAACTTATAAGGTGAAAACATATGGGTAGGTTATGCACACACAAAATAAATACAATTGGAAACATTATATTGAGCCGAGTTAAGACGGGCAATACCTGCTAGCTTAATAATATTTACATAGAGTATGCAAAATAATTTAGATGCAGATTGTTCAGAAAAACTATAAGGTTTATATTCCAATGATTATTATAGCCTGTACCCAAAGGGTGAAAGGCTATACTAGTTTTGTGCGCATGTATGTAACACACAGAAGGAGGCGTTTCAGACCCCACAAAGTATATATATTCTTGATCAGGATGAGAAGACGAGTCGATATAGCCATGTCCGTCTGTCTGTATGAGCGCAAGGATCTCAGTAAGTACAAGAGCTAGGATAACCAAAATTGGTATCAAGGTTCCTATAAGCCCTAGGCAGAACGGGTTTGTTTATTTTTTCTGATACACCCCCCCACTCCCCCGCAATTCGTATTTTTTCGTATAACTTCCGTAATTCTCGGAATTTTAAAATTTTGGTAGGTACATCCAGTTAGTACTAATGTGTCCGTGTGCCAAATTTCATCATGATAGGTCAATTCTGAAGAAAGTTATAGCCATAAGTAAAATCGCTGCTCATGCGCTGCCTGCAGCACTGCCGGCAGCGCTGCCCGCAGCTGTTGTTGTTGTTGCTGCTTTTGTTCAACTTTGTGCTGCATACATACACGCATATGAACACGCATAGGTACGTGATGTAAATGTATGCTGTTTAAACTGAAAATAAACATGTATTCTAATTTAATTTAATTAATTATTTTAATTAATTCATTCATTCACTTTTTTTAATAATTTAATTTTTTTTAAATTTTTTTTTTTTTAATTTTTTCTTTTTGTGGAGAGTACAGGCTATTTTACTGTCGGGCTTGCTCGACTGTAGCGTTCTATCTTGTTTTTATTTTGAAAAATATCTATGTTAGTGTTTTTTATCAAAACTTCTGGAAAAACAAACGAGATGAGATACCTCCCAAAAGCGATTCCTGTGACACCGAGAATAGGTTTGGGGCGAAACTTGGGCGGAAGAGATTTCTGTGGTACCCCTGAATAAGAGCTTTATGTTGAAGCTACCGGAGACTCGGTAGTACCACGTTTGAATTCGGACATTTATGTTTTGGTTTTTTATCAAATCGGAATTGATCGGGGTATTCAAAAAGGTTGGCTCCTATAGCAATGTCTCTGAACGATCTTTCTCAGAATCGAAAACCCAGTTTTCAAGACAACCATTTAAGTCCCGTTATTGCGAAGGTGTGTTTAAATACCTTTAGATTTACATGTTGACTATCTCGGGCTCTGTACCTAATCAAATGCTCAAAATTAGGTGTTATACATATGTATGTATGTATGTTCATACATATGTACATATTAGTGTGGCGTGGTGACGCCATGTGAAGGAGCTTTCGCCATTACATGGAACACAAAAAAACGGATTTGCGCTAGAGCGCACCCGACCCGATATATTTTAAACCTGTTTCAATGTGATGCATTCTACTGGAAACACATCTTTGTTAAAAACACTAATTTACTTTGCGCGTATACAATCAAACATGGTAACCTTTTGAACCAGATAGAGCTCTTTTAATAATCGATTGCATTATTCATGAATGCAAAACATGAATGCGATAGCGTTAAAAGAAACTTGTAATAACAAAATGGATTGTTGGCTATAACTACATACAGATATCAGATACAGATACCTGAAACATGGGATCAGCTCCTGGGCATTACAAATATCAAACCAAACGCACTATAGCCATTTCAAAGGTATAGACTAATTTTTTGTTGCTGGTGGTCGTGCATCAATGCATCAAGAATTGGTATGGTACTTAACCCAAACGGATGTCATAGCAACGTGGTTACCGGGGAGACAGTGTGACCCAAACACTTACATGAAAAGATTGCTCAACAAATCGACTGCGTAGACTGATTTTCCCCAATTCCTCAAAATGGGTGACAATGAACTCGATTTAAATAAAATAAAAGCCACACAGCAAGCTTTGGGAAAATATGTAAAAATTCCACCGTTAACAGATAAGTTGCTGAAAAAGCCCCCGTTTCGTTTTTTAATGGACGTGTTTAATGCTGTATGTAAATCTTTATAATGTAAAAAATCGAAACAATTGGAATTTTTATTTGACTCTTCTATAGTTCATCAAACAGACAGGTTGCTTCATGGGACTCTATACTGCAGATGAGATACTTTTTGAAAATATAAACAATCGGGATGACAAGATCCGCTATTTACAGAAAATGATCGATGCAATAAGTGAGTATGTACACATTTTACTTGGAGAGTGAATTCTTTTAAATTCGAAGATAATCTGGGTACTGTTATCGAAAAATTTTCTTTTAAACCAATGGACTTACATCCATATTTGTTTCCGCGAACAATTGTAGTAATGCTTTCCCAAAAAATTTGTTTCACCCTTTAGCCATAGCGTAAAAAATTTTGCCATATAAAGTCAACCACACGTTAATAATGAACGCGACGCACAATTCGCCTTAAAATGGGACTTTGTTGAAGTTTTTTCATTGATCCTATGCATAAATTATTTTTTAAATGCATTATTTAATCAATGGAAAAACACGAATTGCGGGGGAGTGGGGTGGGTGTATCAGAATAAATAAAAATCTTGACCTGTTTAGGGCTTAGGGGAACCTTGATACCAAGTTTGGTAAGTCTAGCTCTTGTACCTTCTGAGATCCGGACATGACTATATCGACTCGTCTTGTCATCCTGATCAATAATATAAATACTTTGTGGGGTCTGCCACGCCTCCTTCCACCAAAATTAAGCTTTCTAGCTATATACAGGATATAAATACAATTTTAACAAAAAACAAGTAAAGAAGCTAAAGTCGGGTGTCCTTTGAAATACTCTGTACATATGTTTAGAATAATTATAGAAATTAAAATAATTAAAAAAATTTTGATAGATTTTACCTCTCCCGATATTCGAACTCTCGTAAAGGATGTATAATTGCACATTTACATATCGATTGCGTGTATGTGAGTGTAGGCATGTCTATTCGTATCTTTATGAGCATGTTTGCAGTCAACCAAAGCACCATCATCAACAACAGCTGCGGGCAGCGCTTGGGCAGCAATTATATTTATGGCTATAACTTCCTGCTTAATCGGTCTATCATAATTAAACTTGGCACACGGACACATAATCACTGACTAGGGGTATTTGAGTTCGAAATTCAAAAAATTACTGGAGTTACCAGTGGCCCGACTTTGAAATACTCTGTACATATATGTAGGATAATTATAAATATTAAAAAATTAAGAAAATTAAAAATAAAAAATTTGATCGATTTTAGCTCCCTTGATATTCGAACTCACGTAAATGGTTAATAAGTGTACATTTACATAGGAATTGTGTCTATGTGAGTGTATGCATAACCATGTGTGTCTATTCGTGTCTGTGTAAGCATGTACTTGTATGCAGCACAAAGTACCATCAAAGCGGCGGAAACAACAACAGCTGCTTGGAATTTAAAATGTTGCTTACTTTAACTGCTAATAATCAATTACAACAAAATTCAGCTTTCTAGCTATGATATTAGACTTTATGCCAAACATAATATAATCGGACCCAATGTGCATAGTACAAATTACTTACACCACATACTTAATTAAAATAAATATTTTATATTTCCAGAATTTGCAACGAAAAGGGAACTAAAGGTACGCACCTCCAAAATTGTGGCCGGGCATGAACCAGATAAAACAAACGAACTACTGCAACTCTTAGCCACTGTAGCCGATCAGAGCTTAGATTGGCAAAGCGCAGTCGACCAGGTACTCGGTGGCAGTGGAGATGTCAAAGTTTCAGCCAAGCTGAAGGGTAATAATAAATCAAAAGATTTAAAACCTGCAGGTGCGTTAAAAGCCAACCATACTAACGTGGTGGAGCGCAAAAAGCAACATCATGTTAAAATGGAGACGAAAGAGAAACGTATTTTACCGCATAAACAAAAGGACAAGAAGACTAGTGAAAACAAGACAAAGGAAAAATCATTGCGAAAGCAAAAAATCGATACCAATCCCAATTGTGAGGAGTCGAAGAACATAAGTCTTTCGCCTGTAGAAGTGACAGAAAAGATAAAGCTTAGATCTCCTACCGTTGGTGAAATGGTAACCGCATTCCCTGAGTCGTTATCGCAAAATGCAAAAAATGTAAATGTAACCGCAGATACACAACTTTCAACTGAGCCCGACGATGTAAAGCTCTCGGAACAGCACTATAGCTTAGATTCCCTTAGCAGAGGTCTTCGCTCTAGTTCTAATCAACAACAGCTGCCTCTGCAAGTGCCAGATAGCGTAGATGCTGTGCAAGCACAAAACGACATATTGCAGCCTTCGACATTATCGCTGGTATCATCTGAAGTCGAAAACAGAGACAATAATGAGGTAAATCGTGAACCATCTTTATTGCGAGATGGTTCAAAAGATTTAAGCATCAGCATTTCGCAACGCCCTCGTGCCTTTTTGCGTCCACCAAGTGCGCGTCCAGTTTCTGCAAGGCCAGGCGCTCCACGGCGTCACGACCCAAATGTTGAAATAGTGTTGCAGCCAAATGACCAAATTAAGTTTTCCGGTATCAATGTGAAGCTGGAAACCTATGCTGATTTTAACGATGATGGCGAGAATCTAGTGATAATAGATACGCATGAAATAAAGAGCAACATAGATCTGCAACATACCACTACAGTGGAGACTTTGGATGCAACACAACAGGGTCATCTTGTACAGCAGATACTGAAGACGCAAAAGGAGTTGGTGCAGCAAAATAACGATTTTCCAGATAAATTAATTAATCAATTAGGCACGCATCAGAACTCAGCATGCCAAATGAACGGATTACGGGATGTTATTCAAAATTTGACCAAATCAGTTAATCCCTTTGGGAAGCTGATGGACTTTATACCTGAGGACATCGATGCTATGCAATTAGAGATAAGTATGTGGCGCGAGAGTTATACACAAACATTATCGGAGTTGAAACGAGAAAGTATTCTTACCGAAGCGGTAACAGAGCCAATAAAACAGCAGCTTGGCCAAATTGAGGCGAGCATACGCGAGTACCAGGAAAAAGTTGAAACAGGTCGATCAAACATTTTGCAAAATGATCAACGAATACTCAAAATGCTGATGGAGCAGTGACACAATTGTATCTTAGTCGTCAACATTTCAAACCTGTTAGCAAAATGAATATTTATTTGCAACTGAAAACAAATGAGACACGCGTTGTCTTATAAAATGATGTATGAGTTTATCGAAGGCATTCAATCAACCTTGATTAATAATTTTGCTTTTTAATGTATGTATGTATGTAATTTGGCAACCAGGCACGAATAGCAGCAAGATGGCAACCCTAAACAGCAGGAGGTGAGAGTGAAGGCAGACGTCAGTAAGAGTGCTCAGCAGCAAGCAGTATTGCCAACTTTTTAGAAAAAAAAAAACCTGTTTTTGACGGGAAGGAGTGAAATAAAGCAAAAAAATTTTGCAAAAAAGCGTAATAATAAGCTAATTTTATTTCTACAAGAAATGCTTAGAAAGATATATTTTTCAAGGTTTTTCTTATCATCTTGGTGAACATTTTAAATGATATTTGCGTATTTCGTCATGTGTTCTTCAAAACCGGTCAATCTGCGCTATTGCTGTATGCTGAGCAAGAAAAAGGCACTGCGCTGCTTCTTTCTTCGGTAGCCTTACAAAACCAATTTTGTTTGTCCCATAGAAAGTCTGTGTTTCTTTGTAAGTGAGCCAAACATCACGGCATTTTTCATTGCATTCTTTCGGCATTCCCACCTTTACAAATTAGGTGCATTTTGAGAAAAAGATGTCATGTGTAGTATAACCACAACAGTTTGTTCGTCAATACGTAGTTCTACTTTCAAAAGCGAGCGCCATTACTGTCACAAGCGAGGGGCATTATATACATAGTACATAATTAGTACATAAGTCACTTTTTGTATAAAATAAACCATCATCATTAACCACATACTTGTATAAGCAGTGCCGGATGAAGCTAGCGCTGGGCCTGTAGCAAATTCTGTCAAGGGGCCCTTGGTTTAGGCCCAAGTTTAGGATATTCAATAAAACAAAACTGTTACAAATAAACTTTTCTAGATTTAATATGGGCAAATTTAGAGATAAAACTTTCAATATCGACTTCTCTAAGCAAATCATGCCCTATATTCAACAAAGTGAGATGATTAAGACGTTCATGGCCCATCGTGTTCCTTAATTCATTTTTAATACGTTTTAATGTTGAACAAGTAAAAAAGCTAAAGTCGGGGGTCCCGACTTTGAAATACTCTGTGTAAGCATTTTCGCAGTCAACTAAACAGCAACATCAACAACAGCCGCGGGCAGCGCTTGGGCAGCGCTGCAGCAGCAAATATATTTATGGCTATAACTTCTAGGCGATTATACGAATGGAAAATCGGGAAAACCCCCATAGGGGGGAAGTGGGGGGGAAAATCAAAAAAATAAAACAATTAACAATTAATTAATTAATTAAATTAAATTAATTTATTTTTTTGTGGGGTGGTACAGGGTATTTAAGAGTAGAGCCTGCTCGACTTTAGCATTCCTTTCTTGTTTTATAGTAAAAATATTCAAGGAAATTAAATGTCGACGAACACTTAAAATGTGTAGTTTTTAATTGAATAACGTTTTGTTTCTAAGTTGAATAGTTAATTTTTAAATTACCCGCCTTTTTATACTCTGTACATGAAATGTACAAGAGTATAAATTACAAATTCCAAAATATACATTTTCTGCGCATTCACACAAGGCACCTTGGACTAAAATTTAGTGTTCCTAGGTCTTATGGTCTCCGAGATATAGGCGATTATACGAATAGAAAATCGGGAAAACCCCCATAGGGGGGAAGTGGGGGGGAAAATCAAAAAAATAAAACAAACTCGTATAGAATACACACATAACGCATCTTTGTGCAACATTTGGTGTCTCTATCTCTTATAGTCTCTGAGGTGTTCATACGGACGGACAGACGGACAGACAGACAGACAGGGCTAGATCGACTCGTCTTGTCACGCTGATCAAGAATATATATACTTTGTGGGGTCTGCCACGCCTCCTTCTGCCTGTTACATTTTTCAGCTCCCGCAAACCTAATATACTCTTGTACATTTCATGTACAGAGTATAACAACCAGATTTGACGGGAAAGAAGCCAAATTGGCAACACTAGCAGCAAGTCGTCATCAGAAAGTCGTAAAATAAAATCGTCAGCAGTCGTGTCGTTTCGTAGAACAGTAGTCAGCCATTTCAGCTGTCAGTCGTTTCAGCCGTGTATCGATTCAGAGATCAGTCGTCGTCTAATTATACCCCGTACCCAAAGGGTGAAAGGGTATACTAGTTTTGTGCGAATGTATGTAACAGACATAAGGAGGCGTGGCAGATCCCACATAGTATATATTTTATTGATCAGGGTGACAAGATGAGTCGATATAGCCCTGTCCGTCTGTCTGTCCGTCCGTAAGGATCTCAGAAAGTATAATAGGTAGAACAACCAAACTTGGTATCCAGATTCTCCTAAGACCGAGAGAGTACGAGTTTGAGTTTTTGTACGGCTTCGGCGCAACTTTATTGCAGCAGCACGAAAATAAATGGTACCCCGTATTCTACTGGCGTAAGAAAACTACGGCGTCAAAAGAAAAGTTGCACAGTTATCTGTTGGAGGTAAAAGCCGCATATTTACATAGCTACAAGAAAACTTCGTCACTATCTTATGGGAATCAAGTTCGATTTAGTGATTGACTGCGCTGCTTTTAAACAAACAAATTCCAAGAAAGAAGTACCCCAAGAATTGTCCAGTGGCTCATGTATCTACAAGACTTCCAGTTCAAGATCGAGCAGGCAATAGAATAAAGCACATCGACAGTTTTAGCCGATACAGAATTATGGTCATATCAACGGAAGTACACACTCAAATAGCACGAGCGCAACAGAAGGACCAACACGTAGCAGCCGTAGCAGAGATACTAAAAACAACACAATATGCAGATTATAAAATTGAAAACGGTTTGGTATACAATCACGTGGAAGGCCAAGATTTGTTGCCACTGCCAAAAAGCGCTCACAATTTTGGGCATATGGGTGTTCAAAAAACAATGCACTCAATACGTCAAGTTTTCTATATGCCGCACATGGAAACAAGAAAGGAATGCTAAAGTCGAGCAGGCTCAACACTTAAATACCCTGTACTACCCCACCAAAAAAAAAAAATTATTAAAAAAATTTAATTAATTAATTAAATTAAATATAAAATATTCCATACATACATTTACATTTACATCAGAATCGTGACTATTCGTGTTGGTGTACTTGTACATATGTATGTATGTGTGCATTGGGCTATAACTGTCTTTCTAATCTCCCTATCATAATGAAACTTGGTATACGGATATATAATCACTAACTGGATGCGTCTACCAAATTTTAGCTCAAAATTCTGAACAAACTTGTCCTTTCTCGGGCTCAGAAGAATCTGTATACCAGGTTTGGTTATTCTAGCTCTTATACTTTCTGAGATCCTTGCGTTCATACAGACAGACGGACATGGCTATATCGGCTCGGCTTGTCATGCTGATCAAGAATATATATACTTTGTGGGGTCTGCCACGCCTCCTTCTGTGTGTTCCATGTACACTCGCACAAAACTAATATACCCTTGTACCCTTTGGGTACAGGGTATAAAAAGTCAAAGAGTTCATCAAAAATTGTGTAGGGTGCATCATACACAATAGAAAGCTGGTCAAGCAGGAGGACTTCCTACATTGCATCGATAAAGGAGACAGCCCATTTGCTACACTACATATCGATCACTTGGGTACGCTTGACTCTACACCGAAAAACTATAAGTACATATTTGCGATGGTAGATGGGTTTCCTAAATATACTTGGATATACCCTGCAAAGTTGACAGATGCACAAGAGGTCATTATTTATTTTATTTATTTATTAATTAACTTATCCTAGCTTCACAAGTACAAGATTACTTTTAAGTTAAATTTTAAATTAATTTGGCTTCATTTAATTTAGTTACAAAAATTTAATTTATATATACAAGTATATATATATTTTTATTTTATTTATTTATTTTTAATATATTTTTTTTTTAATTTCAATTATTTATTTTATTTCTGTCTTTGTGCGTGCTACTGATATAAGTTTGTGATATGTAAGGTTATCTATACTAATTTTATAAAGAGGAAAGATTTGATTGTTTGTTTGTTTGAATTGAAAAGGCTCCGAGTCTATTGGACCGATTTAATGGATTCTTTCACTGTTGGGAAGCTACACTATCGACGGTGAACATGGGCTATATTATATTTGCTAAAAAGAATGGAATCCTTACTAAAACGCCAATAATGTAACCAAAGGTGTAAAAAATTATCTTAAAATACTCCTGAATAGCATGCTGTTAGTTCATAATCATCCTCGAAATATTGTCACTTTAAATATTATTCAAAAGCCCCCAGCCAAATAAAAAATTACAAATCGATCAACACCGTGATTAATGTTGAAGACATTTAAATTAACTAAACCCTTCTGGACTGCCGCCACATGAATTGACGGTACAATTCGGAATTGCAATCATGCTTTTGAGAATTTAAAGCCTTCCAAGCATGTGCAATGGCACGAGGCTGCTTATTAAGGAATTGCAGGAAAATGTAAGTGTAGCAACTATTATCAACGGCCCAGCAACTGGTCCACTAGCTCATATAACGAGGATAACGAGGATACCGATGATCCCATTTGATCATTTATATGGCTTCAAGTTCCGGTACTCCCAAGGCCAAGCCTTCGAATTACTAGAGATCGACATATGAAAGCAATGTTTTACGGTATGTTGACCTATCACGGATCGTAGCTCCTGAAAATCAATTTATTTTCTACCAAAAAATCAAATATCTTTTACAGAGAATCTCTGACCTAATAAAGAATAACAAAAAAATCTAAAAACGAAAAAAAAATCATTAAAAAATCAATCAAAATCCAAAAATTGGGTGGACAGTCGTGGTCCGTTTAATTAAAGGCACTTGTGACCCTGCTGCTTCAGTGGACCCACGTGGTCCAGTAGGTGCGAGTAGCACCGGCTGTCCTGGTTGCGCTTGAGTGAAACGACGCAGGGCGTTTGCAGTGACCAAGGATACCGGATGGCAATCCTTGGGAGCATGTAGTTCAACGTGGTAGTCGGCGTGATAAAGATCAGCGGTTCCCGTATTAACCCAAAGTAATAGGCCGTTCGTTGATAATTTGCATACTGTTTTTATTATTACAAATCATGGCTTATATAGCCATGCTTAAAACTAGCTTATGACTATATACATTTACCATTTCTATATGTTGGCGGCTTCACAATAATAATGCGCAAGCATATATTATGAGCTGAAGTATGCTGGTGTCAGCCCTGATTGTTGGTCTTATGCTGAGGTAGCTGAATAATATGTGTCTTATTCTTGCTTATGTTGGCTGGCCATTGA